TTGTGTGACTTTCTGGATAATCTTTCTCTCTCTCTCTCTCTCTCTCTCTCTCTCTCTCCCCTCTCTCCCTCTCTCCCTCTCCCTCTCTCTCTCATATACAAATACCAAATATAAGAACCTTTCTCCTTTGCAAAGAAGACCCTAGGAACCATGTGGAAAAGGAATAATACTACTTCATACTTTTTTCTCAGAAGGTAAAAAGCCCCAGTTATATTACTAGCTAAAACAGAAGTCAAAAAGAGAGAAAACAAAATCATAGAGTGTTAAAATAAGGATGCTAAAATTTTTCTTTAAAGACAGAAAAAGCATTTCTCTCCAATAATATGAAAGGAAACATAAAATGAATAGAAATGGCCATGATAGAATAAATTTCAGATGCTGTATATTGCATCTTGCTCCTGGAAATTCACAATGATATCAGTGTTTTAAAGTTTTTGAAAATTACTGTTACCCCAAAATCCATTTAAGTCAGAGTTACTTTAATAATTCACAGAGCACTTTCTTACCAACTTCCTGTAAAACAACTACATTGCAATAGGGGAAGTCCTGTTCTACTCTAATCCTATTGTTTGGAGCAGGTTTCATAGACACTAGTAATTCTCAGACTTTGGAGTGCATTCAAACCACCTAAGAATCTAGCTTTAGTAATAGTTTAGTAAATTACATAGGACTCAAGAACCAGAATACATACAAAGCATTTCTAATATAAAAGGCTCATAGTCCACACGAGAAACTGCCAATTCACACAAGTTCATTGTCCAAATTCACCGGAGATTGAACGACACATTTTTAATAAGAAAGCTTGCAGTTAACAGGTTGGAAGTCTATAGGCTTGACCCTGAACGTTGCCCACATTTGTTGTGATTTGCAAGGGCTTCTAAATATGAAAATAAACGTTTGCCTATGAATTTGCTGCAATCGATCACCCACTCAACTTTGCACCCAGCTTTAAAGGTTTATCTCTTTGACTCTAGAGTCACCCACTCGTCTGCTTCACTAACTCAGCTGAATTTATTTACTCATTCAACAGCCATTTCCAAAGCATCTTCTGTGTGTCAGATACTGGATGACATACTAGGGATATCAATGAATGAGAGTCACAAGTCTTCTGCCTTGTAGGCTTAACCCTGCAAGAGGGGACCAGTAGCAAGGGAGGGCCGTGACATTTTAGATCTGGAGGCATAAAGAACAAGCAATAAAAAGGACTCTGCCCTACCCCTGTGAACCAGAAAGGAGGCAAAGCAGGGATGTGGGGAAGAGTGGCGAGGAAGCAGAAGAAATGCCACCACAAGATAACGAAAGCTAGTCTGTCAGGGTTTTGGCATGTTGCAGTATTGAACAGAGAAATGAGATTGCCTAGCATCATTTTTAAAGGATTTGAATTTATTCTGTATTGATTAAGCATATATTGGATTTCTAGTGTATGCCAGTAACTGGGCATTGGCATAACATCTGCTGAGATGAAGCAAACAGAGTCCTTGCCCCCAGAGTGTTCAGAGTCCGTGGCCTTCTGGACCTACCCACATCAGGTCAGTATGAGGGCATGTTAAGATTATCGTCCTTGCCCTTCTCATGCCAAAGCCTCTGCTCAGTGTTCACCTTGTAATCTTGCCATCCAGAGCCTGCTTTGTCCTGGGGCTAGAGAAGGAAGACCTACTGACAGATAGGACACTGGGGTGCCTGGCTCTGCCCTGAGCAGACTGTGTGGCCCTGGCAACACAACCGCCCACTCTCATCTTGGCTTCTCCATCTGTTTACACAAATTCCCTACAGAAGTATGTTTTTGGGTCTGATAAGATAACCAGTACTGAGAGCTGCAGGGTGTAATGGAAAACTGACAACTTTAATTTTCACTCAAATTATCATACTCTGAAATAAATAGAGTTGAATAGAAGCTCCATTTATTCAATCTGGCAACCTTGCCTCAGCTGAAGACAGTCTACATGTTGGCAGGCCAGAAGCGAAGGAAAAAAAAAAAAACAAAAAAAAACTTTCTTAGTTCCTGGAGATGAAACCTACTAGTTATCAACAATTGAAATTCTGAGAGAGAGAGAGAGAGAGAGAGAGAGAGAGAGAGAGAGAGAGAGGATCTTCTGGGGGAAAGCCATTGACAGCAATAGTCTCCATTTGGAACTTAAACTTGCTTGCCTCCTGCTCAGTTCTTTTTGTTGGAGAAGGATGTAACAAGTTACATTTAACTTCAGCTTCAAGTACAATTCTAAACAATAAGGTGTGGCTTGACGTCCATGCCTGTCATTCATTAATAGATGAGGTGAGACCTCCATTCAGAAGAAATAGAAAATTAAACGACAGATTTCAAGGAACATTGCTTGATAAACCCGAATTGCTGCCAGCACTGTTGCCTTCAGCATGCATATGCAGCCTTTACAAAGAGCAATACCATTTTTATCAAATGCTTATGATGTAATCTTGGTGAAATGCAGGGAGGGTGGGGTGGGGGAGATTCAGGGATTTGGCAGGCAATTGGGGAAAGAGAAATGCAATACAATGTTAGTTCAGCCTGGGGTCTGCATTGGAGCTGAGCTACTCCAGATGTTTTTCTTTTGTCTACATTTAATGGTTCTTCTAAATACCATGTCTTATTATCAGTCAAGCCAGCAAAATTTACAACATACTAATTAATAGCAAGATGTCTAGCTAAGCAATTCTGTGACTAAGTGTGTAATTATATTTTTAGAATTGTTTCTCTTTTTTTCCTTTTACCTTTCTTCTGCCAGATTTTTACTATGAACAAGGGGAGTATTCATAGCATATAAAATCTCATGGGCCTGAACCATGATGAATTTTACTTAAGCCATAAGAAATAAGTTAAGACACTTGCCCTTACCATAGTTATACTGACTGTATCAGTCATTAGTTAGAAACAAAGCATGTTGTACAAAAAGCAAAAACCACTCACAAAGGGCAGCTACAGGTTATAGCTTGCTATAACTTCTTCATACTATGATTGACCTGTTTTCTGTTTATTTGGTTTTCTTGCTGTAGTGGGGATCAAATTCAAGGTCTGCATGTGCTACAGCAAAAGTTTTACCAATGACCTATATGTTGCTGTGCTCTACGGTGGCCTGACTCCAGTCTGGGGGGGAGGGGGGATATGAGTAGGTGCGGAATCAATAACAGACTGGAGAGATGCTCCTTAGTAGCAGGCTGCCAGCAAGCTTGTTTATTGCATACAAGGGGCTTTCCTATTTACCCCCCAAACCTCCCCCATTGGCCCTGAGGGTTGAGCTGTATATTGTCTATTGGCATGGCCATCGCGTCATCTGTCTCTAGCCTGGGCGGCAGATATCAGGTTAGCAGTTTGAGGAAGCAGGTCACGTTAGACTGGTGCGCCTGTGCAGAAGTCTCCAGGTTCAGTATTCTGGCCGATCCCCTCAGGTCCCTCCTACACTTATACCCATAGACCCAACTAATTTTTAAATTAAAGCAAAGTTAATGATTTTGTCCATTCAAGGCTCTTGAACTTCAGATTTCCTTAGAATATGTTGCTGAGCCTGCCTTGCTAATCCTTGGCCCTGGATCAGTCCAAACACTCATTTTCTCAGCTCCTGCTTCTAGGCAACTGAGCATGGATAGAGGAAAATCACAGCATTCCATTTAGTAGTGGGACTGTCCCAGATCTATGCTCTGCAACACCAGCTGAACTCCCATGTTATGGAAACCCTATTTTATCCTCCTTAGTTGCATTTCACATTTCCCCTGTAGTTGTTCCAAACTGTTAGCATGCTCTAGGATCTGCTTAGACTATGATCGTGCGCATACAGCACAGGCAAAGTAGAGTTCCTGCTCTTCCCTCTGTCAGTGGGCTGCCCCATATGGACACTTACTTCCCCAACCCTTTCTCCAGAGGCAGAGAAGAGTTCTCTCTCCCAGTGCCCAAATTTAAAAGTTAGACCATCAGACCCTCTATCACCAGGCACCTGGGGCACTGTTACAGCAATCACTTCCCCTCACACTTTGGTGTTTTTAAGCCATCACTCTGCACTCAGGCCCCTACCCTTTGGTCTATTCATTTGTTGAACTTTTGTCTTATCACCACGTGTGCTGGATTGCTTTAGTGTCAACTTGACACACCTGGGTTGAGGGAGCCTCAATTGGGAAATTGCTTCCATTGGACTGGCCTGTGGCAATGTCTGTGGAGTATTTTCTTGATTGTTGAGTTATGTGGGAGGGCCCAGTCTACTGTTTGCAGTGCTACTCCTGGGCAGGTGGTCCTGTAGTATATAAGAAAGCAGGCTGAACATGGACCACGGAGCAAGTCAGTAAGCAGTGCCACTCCTGGGCAGGTGGGCCTGTGTTGCATAAGAAAGCAGGCTGAGCAGGGGCCAGGGGAGCAAGCCAGTAAGCAGCATTCCTCCATGGCCTGTGCTCCAGCTCCTGCCTCCAGGTTCCTGCCCTGAGTTCCTACCTTGAGGTCCCAGATGAACTGTGACCGGGGATATGTAAGCTAAATAAACCCTTTCCTCCCCAAGTTGGTATTGGTCAGAGTATTTTGTCACAGCAGTGAAGAACAAACTAGGACAGCACATGTACACAGAAAGAAACACAATTCTTTAATCACTTCAGCTTCTTACTCAAGCTGAAAATTGCCTTGTAAAATAATTATCTGTTTACATGACAGTTCTCAACTGGTCCAGCAATTTTTAATTGTTGTTATATCCCTTGTGAATCTGATTTAAGTAACGGGCTTTCTCTTTGGAAACATGCACTTCTGGAGATATGCACTTACACACACACACACACACACACACACACACACACACACACCTGGGTACATAGAATTCTCAGTTGATCACTGACCCTCTGTAAGAGATACCACTGCCTCTGGCCAACGCTTCCAACTCGGCCCCTTTCCAATCACACTTGAGGATTACATTTCCTTGCTGACTTGAGATAAGTCACTGCTTTGGCCAATGAAATGTGAGTTGGAAGTGACGTGGCATGTGTGGAAACCCTAAGTGCCTGAACGGTTTGTCATGCTTTCTCTTTTTGCTCAGTCACCAAATCTGCTCCGCCAGCTTGGGCCCTGGGGTGCAGAAGATAGAGCACCAGTCTTGAGAGGTAAGTAACAAAACCAGCTGTTTAGAGGGGCTGAGGTGAGGGGGTGGGTTACTGTTCAACCTTGGCTGTCCTGCTTAATCCTACGACCCTCTTCATTAGAACTTCAGGAATCCAAGTCAGAAAAAGCCTTCCTGTGAGAGCCGAAGCTGCTCCCTTCTTATTCCAGCCAGCTCCTTTCACCTCTGTTCTCACACTTTCCGTTCTCTTTGCCTTGATGACTTGCTGATGCTTCTTTCCTTAATTTCTCCTTCAGATCAGTTCCTGATTTGATCCTCTCCTTGGAGAGACCCAGCTTGGTCTCTTTCCTGTCCCTAGTCCAGTCCCAAATGCTACCAACCGCATTGCCCATTTCTTTCTTTCACAAATGCATCACAGCAGGTAATGATCATACTGACTTTGTGTCTCTTCAGTTCTGAACACATAACAGTGATTCCTTGATAACAAGTGTCATGCTAGTTTAACCCTGTAAGGGCTTTAGGGAGTATAGTCAAAATACTTGTTTTCACTTATTAAATATGATAAAAATAGAACACAGACATTCTGTGGCATGTCACACTTCACACTTTCTAAACCACATTAATAAAAAGCTTTATCTGCAAATATCAGACCAATGTCCAATAGCTTGGATGCACATCAAGGACAAATCACTGAACCTTGTTCATCACCCCATCACCATGGTCAACTTGACATTTTGGTTTCTTTGCAGAGAGTTGTGGCCAACAGCTCTAACAACCTTTGATCCCATCCCAGTTAAACAATGTTTTTTTGTAATTCATTGACGTATGGTGTTCTTTTTATTCGTATATTTTTCTTTTACTTAGCACATGCACCAAATCATCTTCATAACTACAGTAAGAATTAGCCTTGATGTTTCAAGAGTATTGAGTAGCTGTGTTATATATCCTTGTCACAGAATAGGTAATCAGTTCGTATTGGCTATGGGAATGAACAAACCAATGAGTAAATAAAATCAGTTTCATAAAATTAGTTAATGTTTGTCTCATTTGGAAGAGTAAGACCTGCTATCCTGTTTTAATATATTTTAAGTAATTAGATAGGTTTAATGTCTCTAAAACTGAGCATGCAGCATACATATGTATATGTCTATAACTAATTCTGTTGTCTTAAACAAAAGGACTATTATAATTTCAAAAACTTAATTGTTATCATTATTTCTCTCACAGGCAGAAATAAAATTTTATTGTTTAAAAACTCAGAAACAGAAAACTTAAAATCAGGTGTCTTATTTTCATTGCCATTATAAGATGTTTTATGAGACCACACATTGAAGAAGAGATTCAGAAGTTGTAGCCCTGTCATCCTAGTGTATGAGAGTCTGAAAAAATACCAGAGATCTATCTCTTCAGAGATTCAATATTGTAAGCAGAAAGCTTTTGTACCTTATGGGTCAAATGTCAGAATAAAGGCTTGGGATATAGTTCAGTGGTAGAGAATCTTCCTAGCATATGTGAGTCCCCAGGTTCAACCTCCAGTACCATAAGAAGTAAAAAAGAATAATATAAATTTAAGTGTTCATGGAAACAACCAAACAAAACATCTTTAAATTGTTAAATAACTTTAGTTTAGAAACAGAGGAAGCTTAGTTTTGGCTTTTATGAATAAATGTCCTATGCAGCAGTGTACATTACTAGCCAGTATCTCTTTGTGTTTGCTTCAGGTGTTTTCAGGCTGTCTCTGAACTCACTGTGTAGCCAAGGATGACTTTGAAGTCCCATCTCCTGCCTCTGTCTCCTGAGTGCTCCAGTTACAAGTGTACACTGCCATCATACCAGGCTCTGACTAGTGTCTCTTAAAATAAAACATTTATTCTGTTATGTTACATGTAACTTATGCATAATAGCTAAGTTTTTCTATTATTTTATATAATACTTCATATATACAACCTAAAAATAGCATGGGCATTCCTCCTTATCTCCTCTCAATTTTAGGAGATTATGAATTGTCATTTCGTTTTAACATAATTTAGGTAATCAGATGGTGCTTACTGTCTACAAAATTGGACATGAAAGCATGTGTATATGTGTATATGGTAGAAGACTTTTAAAAATTGTCTTGCATGCTAGGAGTGGTGGCACATTTATGTAATCCCAGTATTTAGGAGGTAGAAATAGCAAGATCAGAAATTCAAAGCCATACTTGGATACAAAGTAAATATAAGGTTGGCCTGGGCTACATGAAACCCAGGCTCAAAAAAGCTAAATTAAAAAATCATTTTGCACAAAAGTCACTATGACATGGACTTCAAACAAAAATTACAGAAAGTTTCCTTTCCATTCTACTAGAGAATTTCAGCTAAATATTGTAACCACCAGAATTAGTTGCTATAAAAATGCAAAGGGGATAAAACAACACTGACTTGTGCTACCAAAATTTGTAACTGAAATAGTATCAAGGTCTTTGTTTAATAAACCAGACTGTATATATCTTGACTGTGTATGCTCTAAAGTAAGACTGCTGAGTCTTAAGCTGGGAGATACTATACTACTTAAAATATTATATATATAAATGAACCTATCATAGTAAGGGCTGTATAATAGAAAACAGAAAGTCAGTTTATACTAAGACTAATTATTTAAAAAAAATAATTAAGATAAATGATGCCACTTACTTTCTTTCATTTAATAAAAACTTTGCTGTAAAAAACAAAACCAAGCTGACATTCCTTCGGGAGACTGGCAGACACTGTGACTCACAAGGCTGTGAGGCGTCTTCAGGTTTCTACATGCCTTTCATTGACTTTGCCAAAGAGCTTGTCTTGGAATGCTGCTCTCTGACAGCATTTAGGTAACACAGACCTCTATGTTTATTAGAGAAAAATCATAGATAAGTCTCTTTAAAACATTTGGCTCTGCTCCAGGCTTCTTTGGCATTATACTTAGGATCTTGAGTTGCTAACAAGGCATCTGGTAAATGTGAAGGTGACTATTAAACTCTTGTTGTGTTTGATCTTATCAACTACATTTTCTAACAGAGAAAAAGTTCTACCAGTCAACTTAAAGATTATAATTTCAGGGAGACATTAGAAGATTGTGGTTCTGAAAATAAAATAACCTTGGCCTTAAAAATATAACACAGCCAGGCATGGTGGTGCAGGCCTTTAGTTCCAGCCCTTGAGAGGCAGAGGCAGACAGATATCTATGAGATAAAGGCCAGCCTGGTCTACATAGTGAATTCCAGGTCAGCTGGGGCTACAGGGAGACCCTGTCTCAAAAAAGACTGAAAAAGCGTGTGTGTGTGTGTGTGTGTATGGGTATGGGTAAGTGTATGTGTGCATACACATGTGTGTATGAGTGTGTGTAGGTGTGTTCACCCATATGTGCAGCATAGAGGCCAGGGTTTTACATGAAGGTGTCTTCTTCCATGGCACTCCACCTTATTCTTTAATCTTTTATTTGTTATTCTTATTTATATGTATGAGTGTATTGCCTGCATATATGTAAGTGTACCCATGTCATACGATACACGCGGAGGTCAGAAGAGGGCATCCGATCCCCTGAAATGGAGTTATGGACAGTTGTTAGCTGCCATGTGGGTGCTGGGAATCAAACCTGGATCCTCTGCAGAAGCAGCCAGTGGTTTGAACTGCTGAGCCATCTCTCCAGTCCTTCCACCTTATTTTTCTGAGGCAACGTCTCTCATTGAACTTGGATCTCACTGTTTCCACCAGACATTCTGGTCAATGAACCGCTAGTATCTACCTGCCTCTGCCTCCTAGTACTGGTGTTACAGACACGTGTTACCACCCCCAGCTTTTTTCTTGGTGTATATTTTATTGGATTTTTGGGCATTTCATACAATACATCTTAATCATATTTAGACCACCTCCACTATCTGCATCCTCCATTGCCCCCTCACTGGATTTCATGGATTCTGTCATATATGTTAAGGACTATCAAGTCAATTTTGTGTCACCAGATGTCCCTCAGTGTGAGTTCATCCACTGGAGCCCAATCAAACTATCTAACCTCACTCCCTTAAAGAAAACTGACTCTCCCTCACCCAGCAATGATCAGTTGCCAATAGATCCTTGGCTAAGGCTAGGGCCTCCTTCCCGTTTCCCCAGTTCTATGCTGGGTTTTTGTCTGGTTTGAGTTGGTATGGTCTTGTGCATGCTGTCACCATTGCTGTAAGTTCATATGAGCAAGTTCCCAGAAGCCTGGAAAACCCTGTTTCCTTGTGGTCATCCACCACCCCTGGTTCTTACAATCTGCCACCTCTTCTGCAATGGTCCATGAACCCTGTGTGGGTGAGGTTTGATATAGGAGTCCTTTCTAGGGATATGCATTCTGCAGTGTCTTATTCTCTACACTTTGGCCAGTTGTAGTCACCTGTGTTAATAGCCCTCTGTTGCATGAGGAAGCTTGGCTGGTGAGAGTTGAGAGATTCATTAGTATTCTCTCTACCTGATGTTCCACTATGTTCTATGAGCCTCAGGTATAGAGGATCTACTGTAGATGTGTCAATTAGGGGTTGGCATCTCACAGTTGTGGAACTCTGAGTGTGACCAGTTGTGGAACTCGGTAATAGTCTCCACCTATTGCAAAAAGAAGCTTCTTTGATGAGTGGTGGCAAGTGTTCCTGTCTGTAAATATGGTATTCATATTTAGTATGCAGCAAGAAATTATGTTGGTCTAGGGATGTGTCATAGGGTTTTCTCTAGGATCTGTGACCTCTCTAGCCATGTGTATTTGACTGTGTTTCCAGTACCACACATTTTTCCCTACCATTGAGCTTTTTAAAGTCCAATTAGATAACTGTTGATTACCCCCAAGAAAAAAGAGCCACTACTGTACCAATATAATTTGCTCTGCTGGTCATTGTTGTGGTTAAAGCTGGGGTTGGATCATTGATTTTCTACCTTAGCAGCTTACATAGTATCCTCTGGAACACTCACTCTGTAGCTAGTCTTCAGGGAGCAGTCTTCCAGGTCAGTTCCAGCTCCATTGCTATAATTTCTGTGTCCAAAATGCATACTGTCT